TATCCTCAAATGTACATTAGTTCACTCATTCGTTTGGGAATTGCTTCATGCAAATTCACATGATATAATTCACTCCCTCATTTGCTTCGGGCAAACAAATATGAAGTAATTTATTCCATCGTTTTCTTCGGACAAATTGATATGATATAATTCATTCTCTCGTTTGCTTCGGGCAAACTGATATGATATAATGCGCTTCTATCCCAAACCAATAACATCTAAATCAATCATATAATGTGTGGCAATAAGTCAAAAATCATTCTTATAAAGGAGTATACCACTCCTTAAACAACACAGAATTGCACTAAGCCATATTCGGAGAGGATTTCGTCATGTTGACATCATAAATTTAGTCAAAAGATGATTATCAAAATTTGTTGATAATAGCAATCCTTCTGGGATTGATATAGGATTTATGGAACAAATAATAATTCAATTTTGAATTAGCAACCAGTCAATTGCATACGAGAGTCATGTTGCATACATGAGAAAAATTTCCATATATAAATAAGCATGCAAACTAAGAGAATTAACTCTGAGAAGTAAACTTCATTTGGAAAATAAAGTTCCAGAAAGTAAAATTTCAAGAAGTAAATCGAGAAGTAAGCTTAGAGATGTAAACTTTTTGAATAGTCAATTTGAGTAGTAAAATCAGCAAAGTAAAGTCACTTTGCACTCATAATAATTTGCCTCCAAAAATAACTTTGCACTCAAAAACACATTTGGAGTGTATATACTACTCAGTTACGCAATAAGTTATTGCGGCCATGAATTAACTTTTACGGTGCTTCAGGCATAAGCTAACTTCTCGGATGCTTCAAGCATAAGTTAACTTCTCGGATGCTTCATGTTTCAGGCATGAGCTAACATTTTTATCCATGAATATATTTTCATGAATTACTCAAACATTATCATGACACCAATCATTTCTTCATCAATACCTCATCATTTCATTATCATCATTTATCACAGTATTTGCTTCAGGCAAACTAGAATCAGCAAGATGAGCTGAGACTCATTCTTTGATGACCAAATGCTTTGGTGTGCGGCACGTAAGGACCAATGCCCTTCACACCCACATTGCTAGCAAACCTACCTCTGGCTAGGATTTTGCCTCAATGAGTTTGGTCATCCTTGAATATCTTAATCACTTTGTTTCTTATTCTGAGCTCAAAACTCATACCACACCGGTTATAATCTCGACCGCAACCCCATATAAAGTTACTCAATTAGGTAACATTTTGTCTTCAGGCACCTGTGCAAATCAACCAGACATGCATTTTGATTCTTCATCAACAATTAGTTATGTTTCTTAGCCACAATGAGTGCTAAAATCAGCTTAAGATGCTTCTCATAATTTGTTTTCTTGTACTACTGCTGGAGTACAAATTACTCGCATGAAAAGTTGGCAATGTCTTTCCAATGAAATATTTATCTGAAACTTCTTGTTTAGAGTTTCACTTGCGAGACTATTTTGTGCATAGTTGAATTATAGTTAATCACTGACTTACATTATAATCTCAAAATTAAACATGAGATTAAACTAGTAAAAATGTGTCTGAGGAAGAACATTTGATGACTTTTGGTCGGAATAGTCCTTCACGGATTTCCATTAATTCAAGGGGTTCTTTTTCAATCAGATACTCATTTTTTAGGTCGTGGTTCAAGTGGTGACGTATGAAAATGAGAGCTTGTGCCTTCTAGGCATCGGTGCTCTATGACTTAGTAACAAAAAACTTGGCTCAATTCTGTAGATGCTGAATATAGTTCAATATCAAGGGCCCAAGCTAAATAATTGCTTCATTTATAAGTAAGTTTAATAAATTCACATTTGGCAATGGAGGACGTAATCTACAAAACATATATCATATGTTCTCATATACATTCATAATATCACATGTTCATAGCAAAAAATAAGGAATTTGACATCTTCTAGATGCAAATCAAACTTTCAGATATGAAGTGGAAAGGTAAAGTCTGAAAGAACAAATTAACCTTTCGAAAACACACAAGAGACTATAAAAATGACCTTTCGATTATTCAACCTTTCGACAGAAAAACAAAATATCATTTCGGATCTATACAAGGAAAAAATAATTTTCCATTTTCAAACATGAAAACATTTCGAAGCATTGCAACCTTTCAAATACCGTACTCATATTAATAGACCGAAGAGATTCCAGTTTCAAGCGGTATGGGGTTTACATGAAGACTTTGGGAAGATTGTTTCTAGCACGTGGAGGAGTTCAACCAGCACTGACTTCGACTCAAAGCTTAACTTAATGGGAGAGACCTTAAAGACGTGGAGTAAGGTGGCGATTGTAAACTTAGAAAGAAAAAGGAAACAGACCATTGCTAGGATTGATGGTATCCAACGAGCCAGAAACTATGGGAAGAAATGAGGCTTAATCAAGCTAGAAGCTAAGCTGAAGACTGAGTTGGACGACATCCTTTACAAAGAGGAGCTTATCTGGTTTCAAAGATCGAGAGAAGAGTGGATTACGTCTGGTGATCGCAACACTAAATACTATCATGCCATAACAAAAGTAAAAAAAAAAAAAAAAAAAAAAAAAAAAAAGAAAAAAAAAAGCAAAAACCCTAGTGTCGAGCTTAAAAGATAACAGTGGCAACTGGACCTCGGACGAGGAACATATTATGAAGATGATACAGGACCACTTTCGGACTCTCTTCATGAGGGAAACAACAACGGCAAATACAAGGTATGAATGCCCAACCCTAAAAATGCTTGAACAAACTGACGTTTCTACTTTATGCAGGAGTGTCACGAAGGAGGAAATAAAGGCAGCTGCATTCGACATGGCCACTTACAAGGCACCTGGCCCAGACGGGTTCCACGCTGGCTACTACCAAAGAGCTTGGAAGGAAATTGAAGGAGACTTAGCTGACACAATTCTGGAGACTTTCCGTACGGCAAAGTTGCCAAGAAACTGGAATGACACGCTAATAGCTTTGGTACCAAAGTGCAACACCCTGAGTTTGTCACCCAGTTCAAACCTATCAGCCTTTGTAACGTCAAGTATAAAATTGTTACAAAAATTATCACGAATAGGTTGAAGGATGTTATGAATCAGGTAGTGGGAGAGGAGCAAAGCAACTTTGTACCACACCGCCAGATCACAGATAACATTGCGGTGTACCAGGAAATCCTCCATACCATGAGAATAAAAAGAGGGGGGCTAAAAGCGATGACCCTTAAGATTGATCTAGAGAAAGCTTATGATAAACTTTCTTGGGATTTCTTGCAGGACACGCTCCAAGGTTTAGGCTTGGAAATGCACTGGATTGACATTATTATGGAGTGTGTTCGGACTCCAAAGCTGGCCATTCTCTGGAAGGGCTCACAACTGGAATGGATCATGCCCACACGAGGCATTAGACAAGGAGATCCAATCTCACCCTATTTGTTTGTGCTTTGTATGGAACGTTTGAGCCGGATGATAAAAAAAAAAAAAAGAAAAAAAAAAAAAAGAAGCCTAGGACAATAACTGGAAAGGCGTTAAACTCTCAAGGTATGGTCCTGAGCTCACTCATCTTTTTTTTTCGCTGACGATATGGTTTTAATTGCAGAAGCTTCCTTAGAGCAAATGAAGGTAATTAAAAACTGCCTCCAAAAGTTCGAGGATGTTTCGGGCCAGAAAGTCAGTGTCTAGAAATCACAAATTTACTTTGGGAAAAATGTTGCTCCTAACCTGGTACAAGTCATCACGCAAGAGGTAGGTTTTGCCCACATGGAAGACCTGGGGCGGTACCTTGGAGTACCTTCGATTCACGGGAGAGTTACATGTGGAACTTTTGCACCCTTACTTGAAAAGATAGATGTGCGTTTGGAGGGCTGGAAAGGAAAGAATCTGATGCTGGCAGGTCGTATAACTCTGGCCCAAAGTGTCCTAAACGCTACACCTTACTACATGATGCAATCTATGCTTCTTCCTAAAGGGGTTTGTGATGCTATTGAGAAGAGGATACGTCAGTTCATCTGGAGGGGTGGCGTGCACTTAGTAAACTGGGACGCAGTCACGAAACCGAAGGATCAAAGAGGCATAGGTCTTAGAAGGCTAAAGGAAATGAATCTTGCTTTCCTAACGAAGCTTGGGTGGAGAATCCGCACGGAGAGTCAAAATCTCTGGGTCAAAGTCATTATGGGTAAATATATGCACAACAAACCAGAGAGTAGTGCCTTTATAAAGAAAAAAGAAAGCTATAACCTTTGGAGAGGGGTTTGTGACGCCTACCCCGTCCTTTCAGAAGGAGTGTACTGAAACCATGATAACAATGATATCTACTGGAAACTTGAGCCGAGTGGTCGTTGCTCGGTCGCTACTGCATACAACGTTGCTCTCAAATCAAGTACCGGAGTGAATGACCCCTTGTGGGCAATAATCTAGAGATTTAAGTTACCTAGGAAAATCAACACCTTTGTTTGGCTTTTAAAGCACAATAAGTTAATGACGAATGTGGAGCGAAAACGGAGGGGGTTCACGGCTAATGCAAGGTGTGAGACCTGTCACTCTCAATAGGAAGATATTTTGCACTGCTTACGGGATTGCAACGTGGCGAAGGAATTATGGGAAGTATTCCTACCCTCTGGGGCTAATAGGTGGTTCTATTATGTGAATTTTGATACTTGGCTTGTCCGTAATGTAACAGGTAAACCCAATGGCGGGAGAGAATGCGACTGGCCAGTGCAGTTTGCAGTAATTGCATGGTGGAACTGGAAGTGGCGCTGCAACAAAACTTTCAATGACGATAACTGGAGCTTGGCAAGAAGAATCAGCTAGATCAAGGAGCAAGTGGTGGTCGTGACTACTGCATATGCTCGGCATAAGAAACCAAAAGGAATAATTGCGTAGAAACGTACCATTGAACGAGGCTGGGCAATCCTCAATACGGATGCATCCTTCTCTCCTTCAAGCCACATGACCGGTTGCGGGGGAATGTTGCGAGACTACAAAAGAAATTGGATGAAAGGTTTTAGTTGCATGACGCAAACTGATAATGCAATAGAGGCAGAGCTTTGGGCGATCTACTTGGGACTCAAGTGGGCTTATCATCAAGGCAACCGGAAGCTCCTCCTTTTAAGCGATTCGAAACAGGCGGTTGAGTGGCTCAATGAGCAACATGTCATTCTTGGAGACTGCGGTACCTTAATCAAATGGTGCAAGGATTGGCTTGAGAAGGACTGGTCAGTTATCGTGGAACATATCCCCCGTGAAGAAAATGCTGCGGCGGATTGGCTAGCCAGAGAAGCCCCTCGACGGCTTTGCGATTGGATTGATCTTCACCACCCACCGAAGGAAGTTCGTGACATTCTGTGTGCGAACATTGAGACTTTTGTGTCCGCCAACGTTAGTCACTAGCGTTAGCTGGGTAGCCCCCCCCCCCCCCACCCCCCCTCTTTTGCCAAAAAAAAATAAAAAATAAAAATACCATACTCATATTGCAGCAATATATATAACAAAAATATTTATGTAAATTTAGCAACAACATCTATACAGTTTGATATGAATGTTCTGATGTGCAACAAATATTATCAACATGGTGTACATACATTGTATATACAAAAAATCACTTCTATTTACACAAACATATATATCACGTGCTTTCTTCCGATTCAAAAAAATTAAAATAAAATTGGAAATCCATATTCAAGAATTTGTAAGCATATATACGAATCATATGAACATGTGCAATATAAACCATGTATTATACGAATCTTATGAATATGCTTGCCTAATATAAAAAAATGTACTGTAACAGATCCAGGCATACCGTTCACCGAAGAATACGATAGAGACTCGTGCTGATAACATGTTGTAATTCAGTCTATCAACTCGTTAGTTCTCGTGTGATGTTTGCACGGTAATGCTTGGTGATTGTATGTATATGAGTATATAGAATAGATAAGTAAAAGGAAGATGAAGAACACAATGTATAGAACACAATCACATGAGACCAATTTTCATTAAGCCTTCACCCTCAATTTATAGGGACCATTACAACCTTTCACATCCTTTAACATAAGTAATGAAATAAGTAAAGGCTAACAAAAGGTCACAAGTTTAATGGTCATAATAATAAAATATTTATAACAGACAGATTAATAAATTTTTGTAATGTTATTCAATTTCAATTCTATGGTAAATTTATCAAATATTTTGTCAAGTGTCCCTGGAGTTCCCCCTCTTTGCTATTGCATAAGACCATGATTTATTACTTCTTTCTTGTATCTCTTTAACTAATAATATATAATATAAATTTCATTCAATCTATTTGATGTCGGTTGATTTTGAACAATCGTGAAATTTAATTTTTAGATTGTTATAATGTTCTTCTCTCAAATATTATCTATTGAACCATTGAGCTAAATTCATGAGTACTAGATTGTTATAATTTTCCTGGCATGTTTCGCAAATGTAAAGATTCATTGGACACAAATAATATGGGGAAATAAGTTCTTTCAAAAAGAAAAATTGCATTAACAAATGAGAATCCCAATACTAAGGGGTGTATTCAATCATGACTTTTCTATAATTTTAAAGACTTTTAAAATGATAGCTAGATTTTAATAAACTTTGATTGACTTTCATAGAGTCATTCAAAACTTTTTAAAACTTTATAAGACTCTATAAAAGTCTATATAAAAAACATTCATAGACTTTTATCAACTTTTTATTTTAAAAAGTCTACAAAAGTCATTGAAATTCTAAATTGAATACATCCTTACAAACTTTCAATGATTTTGATTCTTATCATTTATATAATTTTCTTACAAAACATTTATAATATATCATAAAATTTTCTTATTATGTAGTTCTTCACCCACATCAACATTCTCAACATTCTTATTTTTATCCATGTATGTTGAGACTTATATGCTAATTACTTATATATATTATTAATAAACATAAAAAAAAATATTTCATTAGAAATTCATAACAATATTGAATAATAAAATTTATAATAAAATAATTGATCAAAAAAATATTTAAAAATATAATTACAAGTTGCATAAATAAAAAAAATAAAAATCTAACATATATATATATATATATATATATATATATATATATATATATATATATATATATATATAATTATACTTGATATATTGCTATGCATCACGCAAAGAACTATTATTTACAATAACAATTTGAGACTGCGAACAACAACAAAGTGTTATTGTTTGCAACCCCAAATTGTTGTTGTGAACAATAGTTCACTATTCGTAGTAACTTATTAAAAAAACGAAAAATATATATTACGAATATAAACATAAAAAGAATAAAAATCAAAATATATAAGTATTTTTATATGAATATTATGAAACATATAAAATTTGATGATGAAAAATTTATTTTGTTCATGTATTTAGAGAGAATTGGAGAAAGTTATGGATAAAAAATTCATAAAAAAAAAATAAAAATCAATATAAACAAGCAATAATGAAGAAAAAATAATATTATTTTGAATTTTTAGAGGAAGATTGTAAAGTTTAGGACAGAGAGAAAATTTGGTAGAGTTTAGATATGAGGAAAATATAGGATAATGAAGGAAAAAATAATTTTATTAAATTTAGATAGGTTTATAAAGTTTAAATTGGGAGAAAAAATGGAATTTAAATAGAGAGAGAAAATATTCAAAGTTGTTAGAAAGAAAATTCTGAAATCTAGGGCTTGATGGTTGGATTTCAACTATTTATATTTGAGAAGAAAAAGTCTACAAAAGTCTTAAAATTAAAAAGTCTACAAAAGTTCATAACTTTTTGAATACCACATGACTTTTAAAGACTCTCTAAAAGTTTAAATTGAATACCCCAAACTTTTAAAATTCATAAAAATCTTTAAAACTCTATGAAAGTCATGATTAAATACACCCTAAGGCTATCCGCGCCGCTGAAATTTGGGATCCTTTCAAATCTTTGCTTACTTTTTTTTTTTATTTTTTTTTTATTTTTTGCATGCGATGACATGTTGCGATTCTGACACATCAAAATTGTAACAGTTGTAATTCAGTGTGTTAGAATTGCAACACACTTTCAATTAATTTTTTGACTTTTATATTTTTAACTAGTATTTCTTATGCGTGATGAATAGGCGCCCAATATTAATACTTTATATTAAAATTTTTAAATTTATTTAGATTTTAGACATTTAAATTATTATAAATAATAATAATAATAATAATAATAATAATAATAATAATAATAATAATAATAGTGTAAAATATTTCTATAAATTTAGTATTTATATTTTAAGAAATAACTAACATATAACCCCAATATATATTGTGTAATTTATTATTATTATTATTATTATTATTATTATTATTATTGTTATTATTATTATTATTATTATTATTATTCAAAATAAGAAAATATATGTTGGATGCATGTGCATGGTAGTAATAGTGGAAAAGATAACGGAAGTAATAACGGTAGGGGTATGTTTGTCCAAAATATTGTATAGTACAACATTTATAGCATAATGTATCATAAAACTTAACGGAAAAAACGGACATAAATGAATGGTATAATCTTCATCCACACTTATTATGTTTTTATTATATATTATTATTATTACAATTATTAGTATTACTTTATTGATAGTTTTTGTATTTATTAATAAGGTGATATAAAAGTGAGACCACTTTTGAAATAGAAGAGAATTCAAAATAGCATGGATAAAGAGTGAATAATGAGTAATTGCAAATTTTGTGATATGACATTTTAAAAGTGAGAGAAAATTGCAAAGGTGTGAATAGTCTAAGGCTTACTTATGACATTTAAATGAAAATATGTAGATAACATTTTCATATAAATATAATATTTTAATTTTTAATCAAAATTTTTACCAAATGAATGAACATTAATTAATTTATTTCATTTAAAATATAAAATTTTAGTTTTTATTTTTATTTGATTCATTTTAGAAACAATAATTTAATCTTTAACTTTAACTGTTCAAATAAAAAGTTGTTAAGAATAGGCCTGGGACTATTGATTTTCAACTCTTTATTTTATGAATATTTATTTCCAACAATTAAGAAGTGTAGAAAAAAACAAAAAACAAAAACAAAACAAAAAGCAAAACAAAACAAAACAAAAAAAAAAACAAAAAAAAAAAAAAAAAAAAAAAAAAAAAAAACTACGGACATGGGACTAATCGTTTAATTGTAGAACATATCTTTGAGATAGAAGAGCTGGCTTGGATATTTAAAATTACTTCATATTCAAAGTTTAAAGATCAAACTCTTGACTTTTCGTTAAGGATGGATGAAACTCTTCCACTCAATTCAACCATAACTTATTATTAGCATAGTTGGTCTCTATAGTGTTAAGAATAATTAAAAGGTTAGGGGTTTAATTCTTATAGGAAACATTGATATTTTCTTTGACAAAATATAAGTGTTATGTTATACACTAGTAATGTAAAAGAGAAAAAGAAATTATTTAACTTTAAAAATATTTATAGTACTAGTTATATATATCCAATTATGTATTAACAGACAACTCTCTCATGTATTAATTAAGTAAGACTTGCCCGCATGAGCAGTTCAACTGGTCATAGATGTGAAAAGTTGGAAGAATGATCAGGGATCGAGTCTCACCAATGGCAGTGTGGGAGCAACCTCTCAAAGTGAGAAGGGTGAGACCAGTAAGCAAAGGTCTAGTCTTATGGTTCATGTTCATCATGTTCAATTGGTTCTAGTCTCAGATGCTCTGTCGGGCCTGAACCTTTTAGAAGAAATGGAAAGGTCTAGTCTTATGGTTCATGTTCATCATGTTCAATTGGTTCTAGTCTCAGATGCTCTGTCGGGCCTGAACCTTTTAGAAGAAATGGAAGAATTAAGTAAGACCTAATGGCTAACACTTATTTACAGGTTACAATTAATTATGAAGTGCAACAAAATATATAGATAGAAACACATAAACAAAATTGAGAGTCATCACTAACGGCTAACACTTATTTACAGGTTACAATTAATTATGAAGTGCAACAAAATATATAGATAGAAACACATAAACAAAATTGAGAGTCATCACTAACGTTTACTTCATATATCTGTTTTTTTTTCATTTTTCTATTTTTCATTATCCAGTTTTCTAATTTTCATTCTCTATTTCTCCAAGTTTATGATTTCATTTTACAAATTTAATTTTTATATAAGAATAAATTCAATACACTGATACTAAATGTGTAAAATGTAACAAAAGTTAATTAAAACATAATACTAAATAAAATACAAACGAGAGCTTGTTTATTTTGTATTCATTATTGTCCACGGAATTCATTTAAGTAAGAGTCCTCCCCACGATAGAGTGCCAAGGCCATTTCAAAATCCAAGAATATTTATATAA